TGTATTTTTGTTTTGCATATTCACATGTGTAAATAAAAGAGAAGTAATTATGTACATAGTTATTTTTTTTAATGCAGCTTATAATTTTTTTTACAAAACATTCTTCTATACGTTTATTTTTATTTTTCCGGTAAATAATTTTTTTTTACACATTTAAACCAATTGTTCTATACATTAAACAAAAATGAGCAATTCTGGCTCCACCTATCCTGGCAGGATTGTCCTCTCGTCAGCTCTCCCCTCGCACCGTTGCTATGCGACAGAGCGCTAATCGGGAACCTCTGGTGTCGCAATTCGAAATGTCGAAATCCTGCGAAGACGGACCGTCCTTCATGCACTTCGGAGGGTCCTTCGTGCACTTCAGAGGCCTGGCCTTCGAAGTCCGTTGCCTTTGAAGTGTGCGCACTTAACTTTGGGACACAGCTAAAGACACAATCTAAAAGTCTCCCCATCTATCACACCTGATTCAACTCATCAGCTCATTAGTGGAGACTGCAAGACCTGAAGTGATGTGTCAGATATAGGGAGACATACAAAATGTGCAGTGCTGGAGGTAGGCTACATCATGGAGAGGTTTGAAAACCACTGAACTATAGCCATTGAGATAACACAATATCGGTCAAAGGAAAGTTAATTGGGAGGAATAATAATAGATCTGCAGCAGAACATCAGCAAGCAATCATTTAATCCATATTCTTTTTTTTTTTTGGAATCACAGTCATTATGACGTTGTGAACACTGCCTCATTCATGTGATACTGAAGGCTGGAGTAATGGCATGCCAGGAATAAATTTCAAACAAACAAACAAACAAATAAATAAATAAAACATTGTAATATAAATTGTAACACTGTCTGTTAAATTGTAATAATATTTCACAATATTATTATTTTTACTGTATTTTTGTTCAAATAAATACAGCCTTGGAGAGCAGAAGAGACGGCTTTCAAAAACATAAAAATCTTAATTATCCCAACTTTTGATTGGTACTTTATAACCACTAAAAGTTTCCATTCAATTGTAATCCTTTCCCTCCTTTTCTGCTTCACTTATTCATTTTCAAAATTGTATTAATATTCATGATCGTATTTAAGAGTTTATTAATATCCCTAATTTTCCAAACCTAGATGTCACAGTTTGAACTCTTTCCCTGCCAGCATGTTTGTTTTGTTGTTGTTGTTGTTTTTTTTGTATCTAGCAAATAAACACTCATTCCCCCATTTTCATAGACAAGGCTTAAGCATAGTTCCAGACTAAAATGCATATTTGGGATGTTTTAACTGAAAGAAACTTGCACTGACTGATCTTAAAACATGTCAGTTTCATTGTTTTGTCTCAAGATGCACACCAGTGTTTTGATCTAAGGCACATTTATAAAATTTACTTGCCACTGTCCCCAGGGCAGGTCCAGAAGAACTTGTTCTTCTGTTCATTTACCTCGCATGTAAAGGTCGTAGCATTTCAAGAAGCCAGCCGTGGTTAGTAGACACAGGTCTGATATGTCTCTCTTTTTCAAGCCAAGACTCCAGTACCCTGTATGATACAATAACAGGGATATGTTTGATTGAGTCTTGGGTCTTCAGCCAAGCTGCAATGGCCTTTTTTTCAGGTATTTTCAGGAGTACTGTAATTTTGGGTCTTTAGGTTCCAGTTGTTTCATCCACTCTTCCTTGGCTTTACTGAGAGAGGTAACCACTTCCTTGCCAATTCTGCAAGACTTATTTACTTTTCTCAGCGTTTTATTGAAAGATAGCAGCTCTGTTAATGCTTTTTTGATAGGGTTGCTGCTGGATAAAACTTTCGTCATCCTCGCTTTTTGTAGGAGAGGAATTGACATATTCAGGCAGGGAGTATTCAGACCTCCTGCCTGGATAGGCGCATGGAGGTATGCCTAGTAGGGTGTCTTTTGGTAGTCGTATCCACTTCCTAACCTCTGCCCTTATCACCCTGTCCATTTTTGTCAGGGTATTCCTGTGTACCCCTCCGAGAATGAGTTCGTGGACCAGTCTTGGGACCCAGAAGGTCTTAAGTATTTCCAGTATTTGATAGGGTTTTAACGGAGCCTACGTAACTTCATGCAGCATTCTTTCCAGTTGTCCAGTATGTTTTGGTACAACTTTCCCTTTCCAGGTGAAAGTCAGGCCCAGGTATCTTTTGGGTATCCAAGACCCCCATTGCCGGAATCTCTCCGTCTAAGGTGGTATAGGGCTTAGGAGCGAGAAGTAGACATTTCCTTCTCCCATCTTTGAGGATTGTGATACCCGTTGATTTCCGTTAATTTAGAGCCATGCCCATTCGTTTGAAAGCCTTACAGAGCCTGTACAACTTGATTTGAAGATCGTCACTATTTCTGGTGATCAACAAAAGATCGTCTGCATAGGCTATGGCATCGAAATGTTGGTCTCCTATCTTTATCCCTTTCTCTGGACATGCTGCCTGCACTGCTTTATCCATTGCAAGGATGAACAAGAGTGGGGAAAGATGATCGCCTTGTTTAACACCCCTTCCACACTTAATGGTCCTCGAGCCAAGATTTAATTCTGTCTCCATGTACAGATGGGCAAGGTACAGTAGTTTATCAATGGGTCAGGTGTGTCAGCAGCTTTTGCCACCTCCAAGATGGTACAGTGGGAGATGGTGTCAAATGCCTTAGCAATATCCAGAAAGAGCATTGCAATTAGAGATGTGTCGGGTGCCTGGAGGTCATAGGTTCGAGTCTCAGTACCAGCAGGGATTGTGGGTGGGGGAGTGAATACCTCCACCCTCAATACCACAACTGAGGTGAGACCCTTGAGCAAGACACCAAACCCTCAACTGCTCCAGCAGCTGCCCACTGCTCTGGGTGTGTGTTCACGGTGTGTGTGTGGGTTGTTCACTACTCACTGCTGTATATGTGCACTTTGATGGGTGGATTGTATGGGTTACCATACTTGGCAACATGTCACAAGGGTCCCGCTCTGCTCCTTTAGTCCATCTTTATATAGTCCTTGTTACAGGTTTAGCTGATTTTAGTTTCTGCCTGTAGGTTGGTATAAGATAAACCAGACAGTGATCAGAGAGCCCCACAGCTGCCCGTGGGACAGAGTGATATGCATCCTTTACTGTGGTATAGCAGTATATTACTGTCTCTGGTAGGGCATGTAACATGCTGTTTGTATTTTGGAAGTTCATGGGAGAGATTATCTTTTTTAAGGTTTTGCTTTATAATGTTTTGGACTTCATTTCCCAGAGTGCAACAGAGGTGGGCGGTTCATTGACATGTGCATTTGTTATTGTTTATTACACTCACACACTCAACTTAAGTCTCATCAAGATCATAGGCACACATACAAGGACATGGAAAACCTCAGGTGATCTGATTCTTTGATAAACCTAATTTTGTATTAAGGTAAGAGTACAATTTATGCTGATATTTTAACTATGTTGTTCCTGTGACATTTTAAATGTAGAATTGAAAAAAGAAAAAAAAATCAAGAAATATATATTTTTTTGTTCATTTGAATGTAAATGTTCTGCTGTTCATGATTAAAGTTTGTGTAGCTGAATTGGTAGAACATCCAAACCCAAGGTCACAGGGTTTAACTTGGGAGCATATATATTGAGAAAATGTATGGCTTGATTCCATTGTAAATTACTTTGTGAGAAACTGTCTACCAAACGTAAATGAATGTGTGAAATGAGTGACATTTTACTTACTGAAAAGATCATCATAAGTAAAACATTCGCTGACATATTCAGGTGTCAATATATCTAAACAAGATTTTATATGTGAAAACTACAATTGATTTTTACAAAAAAGCACCAAGGGTTATATTTTATATTTAAGTGCATATAAAATGATTAAATTAAAAGATTAGAAATGTTGAAGATCATTAAACGATGATGAGTACAGGCTATTTGACTTGACTGCTACTTCTGAGTAAACATTCAAAGAAAGAATGCTGTTACCCCACTCTCATGCAGTTTCACAACACATGGAAATCCAATAGCAGTCGTATGCAGTGTCAAGCATTGCTGTAGTTTGTAGTTTAATGGAAATGCACTAAATATAGTTGACTACACAAACATGATTGTGTTGATTCACATTTCCAGTCACTTTAGTTATTTTCAAGCAATGAACAGCAGTGTTATGGTCTTCGGTACTGAACAAGTTACAAAACTTTTTGTTTTGCACACTGTTTGACTGATTTCTTTGTCAGTGCAGTCATATGACCTGATTTATAGCCATTGCTATGGAGGAAAAGAGAACTGTGACTTTCCGAGATGTTGCCAAGAGCTATTTCTCACAGACAAGGGTGGACTGTCGCTACACTATAAGCAGTCATCACAGCTGGTGCAGTCATGACTGGATAGGTCTTTTTAAGGTAACTCCTGTACTGAATTAAACACTGTGTTTATTTAGTACAAAACAAAGCAAATACATTTTATGTTATCTTGTTTCACAGGTGGGATGGCTGACAGTGAATGATTACTACACTTTTGCCTGGGCTCTAGCACCAGAAGGGTACCAAACAGGAACAGATGCAAACTGTAGTGTGGCCTTTCACTGTATGTTTATATTTGAAATATAATATACAATTTTATTTGTGTTTGTTTATATACAGTAACCCAGTGTTTCTGAACCGTGTTCCTGAAGGCACATAAGTACATATTTTTGGATGTCTCCCTTATCCAACCCATCCATTTCAAGTCTTGGGCTGTGTTCGAAATCGCCCCCATACCCTCATTCACTATGCCCTACATTAGTCCATTAATACAGTCCAGTTAAAGAAGTGAATGAAAATGAGTGAGTGAATTCGGACACAGTGAGTGCTGTTGCTTTTGCATAGTTTGTGCTTGCTGTTCAATAATCATTTGAAACTTAGCAAAGTGCAGTCATATGACCTGATTTATAGCCATTGCTATGGAGGAAAAGAGAACTGTGACTTTCCGAGATGTTGCCAAGAGCTATTTCTCACAGACAAGGGTGGACTGTCGCTACACTATAAGCAGTCATCACAGCTGGAGCAGTCATGACTGGATAGGTCTTTTTAAGGTAACTCCTGTACTGAATTAAACACTGTTTATTTAGTACAAAACAAAGCAAATACATTTTATGTTATCTTGTTTCACAGGTGGGATGGCTGACAGTGAATGATTACTACACTTTTGCCTGGGCTCTAGCACCAGAAGGGTACCAAACAGGAACAGATGCAAACTGTAGTGTGGCCTTTCACTGTATGTTTATATTTGAAATATAATATACAATTTTATTTGTGTTTGTTTATATACAGTAACCCAGTGTTTCTGAACCGTGTTCCTGAAGGCACATAAGTACATATTTTTGGATGTCTCCCTTATCCAACCCATCCATTTCAAGTCTTGGGCTGTGTTCGAAATCGCCCCCATACCCTCATTCACTATGCCCTACATTAGTCCATTAATACAGTCCAGTTAAAGAAGTGAATGAAAATGAGTGAGTGAATTCGGACACAGTGAGTGCTGTTGCTTTTGCATAGTTTGTGCTTGCTGTTCAATAATCATTTGAAACTTAGCAAACTGGCAGCTCCAGTGGTAATGAAAACATTTGTCTTAAACTAGTATGTATGAACCTTAATTAAACTATTTAATAATCAGTTAAAAATAAATATATGTATGTATATTTGCACAACCCTCACAGTGCATTATGGGTATTCTCTAGCCATTGAGTGTACATCAGTTGTACACCCGCTATTGCAGTGCATTATGGGGATTGAATAAGTGCACTCAGTAATGTTTTGGACACCACTACAAATGGCCATCCCTGTTATGTCTGTAAAGGCGACTCGTACTTGAGCTTATTTTGATTTTTATTGTTCTCGTCTTTAACATCACTAAATTGTGTGAAAACATTCAAGTGTCAGCGTCACTTCACGTTCCAAACCCTTAAAGTAGCCACCGTTCATTCTATTGTATTAATTTAACAAACACTTTACTTCAACAAGCTATCAGATTATTAGTCTAACTAACTAACATTTCCCCTCCCTTTCCAGTGAGCTATGTCACTGGAAGGGGTCACCGGATTCTGTGCTGGGGGCAGAGGGCATGAATAACTTCGGTGTGAACCACACCAGAAGGGCACATTACTTTCCTAAAATGACTGGCATGTCAACGGAAACCATCAGATAGCTGGAAAGTGTGAAGCTTGTTTTCTTGTGTGGCCGCTGAAGCCACACCTAGTTCAGCAGGATAATTCTGGGAATCCGGGACTTTTTCTTTGCATTATATCTGCCATGTGCTTTGAGCTGTTGTCCATGTATCCTGGCTTACACCACTGGGTTTCCACTGTGAGAAATAGGAGGGCGAAGTCTGCAGTTGTGGCATGCTGAGCAGCTCTGTAGTGTAGAAGAGTCTGAAACAAGGCCTTGTTGAAAGAGCTGTCTTGAGCCAAGTAAGCTCTCAGACCATTTTTCAGTGACTGATTAAATCTCTCTACGCCCCTATTTGACTGTGACTGATAGTAAGCTCTTTGTATGTGTTTGATCCTTTTGCTTTGGATGTAACTGGCAAACTCAGCAAACACTAGTTGAGGGCCATTGTCTGTTGTCAAGTTCCTTGGCAGGTCCCAGCTGGCAAAGAGCAACTCGATGCAAAGAGCAAATCAGTGATGGAACTGGACGTGGTAGAGCTCACAGTGCAACCTCTGGCCAATTTGAGTGTAGATTATAAACTACCACAAGGCAATGCAAATGACAGTGCACATCATGGAGTTCACCACAGATATCAAGTTGAATGTGGTCCCAAGGTTTGGCCAAGGCGAAGACCCCAGTGGGCCAGTTATCCTTGTTAAAAAACATGGATTACAGTCCTGAACAAGCTGCTCAATGTCTTTGTCGAACCCTGGCCACCGTACAATATCCTTACAATGCTGCTTCAAGTTGAACTGTGCCAAGATGGCCCTCGTGCATCATGGCCAGTACTTGTCCTAGTTTAACAGGGATAATGGCATAGTGTCTGTGCTGCAGACGAAGGCTCTGGCACTTGATGTATAGCCTCAATATTGGAGTGGAATGGGGAATGGCCTTCAGCTGAACCATCATAGCCAACAAAGTCAACCTCTGGTAACACAAATAAGCATTTCTCCAGATTAAAGGGTTATAATCACTTTAATGTAGCTTGCGCCAACAGTCTTACACGGAAGCAGCTCCGGGCGGATGACGTATGAGGTCGGCTTTACGCATGCGCCGTTCAGAAGTGACGCACGCGGAAGCGCAGGGGAGAGATCAAAACAAAACACTTATTAGAAGTACAAGACGAGGATATGTAAAGAAGAATTTTGGAGGATTTCGATATAAGCCAAGAGGAGACTGGTTTTCCTTTGCTAAAGTAAGGAAACTTTGCTTCCTTTGCTCCTGTTAACAAACATTGGTTTTCACGAGACTCACCAACGCATGCGCAAAGCTGAACTCATATGTCATCAGCCCGGAACTGTTTCCGTGTACAACTGTTCGCGCAGCTACATTAAAGTGATTATTACATTTTGAATATGGATATTTTTCTTACAAAAATGCATCGATTCGCTACAGGAGGCCTTTGTTCACCCCCCGGAGCTGTGTGAGACACTTTTTTTTTATGGATGGGCGCTTTTTATTTAACTTCTTTTGGACTGATGCATGCAACACCCGCTGAGTGGCATTAAACAGCTTGAAAGATCAAAGACCATTTTTAATATAACTCCGACTGGATTCGTCTGAAAGAAAAAAGTCATATACACCTAGGATGACTTGAGGGTGAGTAATTTATGGGCTAATTTTCATTTTTGGGTGAACTAACCCTTTAAATGTCAGATTATGTTGACTGAGTGCAGCAAATAGTGGCCCTTGAGCACTGTTTGTGAATCACTGCATTCTGGGCATGGACAATGACATCATCAAGGTATACTCTAGATGGCAATGCCAGGGGCACCAGCCAGAATAGTGGACATGATTTTTTAGAAGCAGCTGGGGGCCGAACTGAGTCCAAAAGGAATCCACGTGCAATGGAATACACCAACATGCGTATCAAATGCCGTAACATTTCTGCTGTCTGGGTGGACTCATAAACAATTCCTTTTCGAGGATATTGCTGCCATTGCTAGTAATGTGAAATGGAAAGTTGGGCAGGTGTGTGTATAATACTAGACAGGTGTGTGTATAAGACAAATATCTTCTATTACACAGCTTCCATATGCAAAAATATTCAGAGAGGGTGGCTGGAGGGGCAAGCATGGCAGGAAACGTTCATAAGTGGCCATATTAAATAGCGAGACATAAGTCCCGGTGTCCAGTAGTAGGGGAATTACAAGATGTGCACATGGATTTCTCTAAAGTGAGATCATCATCTTCCAGTAGCAGCCGCTCTCGAACGAGTGTATTGTTTGGTTTCTCAATTAACTGAACTCATTTAATCTCATCTGATAAAGTACCAAAATAGCATGGTTTTGCCAGCCCTTTTAAGTCAACAACATATTGAAAAATCGACTCACTAGCACGCTGTCTGTGCTGTCGGAACTGCAGCCGTTTCTGCAGGAGACTCTTTTTTTCCCCCCAAAATGTCGATTTAACTGTGTCATCGCAGTGGCGTGATCGTCTGCGTCTCAGAGTGTGCAAAAAACATGCTGTCATTCGGCACCAAGACAGTGAAGGAGTATGCCATTTTCAGCTTCATTGGGACAGTATTGGGGCCCATTGCTAACAGGTACATTTCAAAGGACGTTCCATTGCTCCCATGGGACCATAGGCTCGCCAGGATGGGGAAAAAAAGAGGCTTGGGGTAGATAAATGGGAACACGGGAAAATCATCTGTCATCCTCATTGCCAGTTGTTCTGTCTGTAAAGATGACTCATATTTGAGCTTATTTTATGTTTTTATTGTTCTTGTCAAATTCTTTCACATCACTGAACTGTCTGAAAACATTCAAGTGTCAACACCGCTTCCTGTTCCAAACCCTTAAAGTAACCTCCATTCTGTTTTATTAATGTAGCAAACACATTACTTGAAATAACCATCATTATTAGTCTAATTACGCATGCAACAGTCCCCTTAAATTGTGTTTTAATTTAGTGTTTTAGTTTTAAAAGTGTGTAGTGTTGGTGTGCCTTCAGGATTGGGAAACACTGCAGTAGCCTATAGTTTGATACATGTATAGGTCATTAATGTTGTCATATGTCCAACACCAGCAGAAACAGCAAGTGCAATAACAACTGCAGTTCTTGGTAGAACTAGAACACTCAGTTGCCATCTGATACTTTATAACTATTGCAACACTACTGCAAGTGCCTGACATCTTTAAGGCTGTATCAGGCTGTTTATGTTTGTCACGTGTTTTGGTTTTAGGAGTTTTCTGATCTTTATTCCACTTTCCCTGCCATCTTTCAGCGTCTTATCTACCAAAACCTGGTGGGGAGGCATATCAGTTTGCTTATGTGGATGAACGTGACGAGATATGTGCAGTCAGTTCTCAGTTTACTTTTTGTGCTCCAAGACCTCTGGATGAACTTGTTACACTAGAGCAGGAGAAAAATGGTGAGGAAGAGGAGGGGGGATATGACCTGCTGGTGGTGGTGCCAAAGGCTCTGATCCTGCAGGTGGGGCATTCTTCAAAAGAAGAGACCAGAACAAATTTGACAATAACAGCTTTTCAATTACCCTAATTAAGATTTGGACAGCTATCCGTATTTAAAAATGTATGTAATTGCAACATATAACAAAATGATAGCAAAACAAAGTTTGGTAGGCTTTGAATTATGAAATAATTTTTGGTTGTTAGTGGAAACTACACCTGTGATTACCCTTTTAGTACAACTGTGTAAACTGAAGGGGAAAGGTGGAGTTATAGAGTATAGCATAAATGACAGATATATTCTGTATAAATGTTACTGTATTAAGCAATGACATTCAAATATTTTAAGTGTGACTTTAGTGTCCAAAAACATTTAAGGCCTGTCATATCTTTCATACTGTACAAAATTTTATTTTACTAATTTTCTGCATATGTTTTTAAATATTTCTGGTATTTCTACAGAATCTCTTAGAAGGATGTCAGCGTGAGTTACATGAGCTGCGTAAGAGGTTTGAGGCTGCTGATGCTGAGGTCGAGAGAGAAAGGGAGAGATGGAAAGCTGAAAAAGATGAGCTTGAAAGAGTAAAAAATGAGATGAAGTGTCAGATTGATGAGCTAAAAAGCAACCTGAGGCAAAGCACTGAAAAAATTGAGGAACACGAGCAAAAACAAAAGGTAGAATCAAATTTTTGGTCATGTTTCTGGATCGCCACTAATCAGAAAAATAAGGACACAGAGACCTACTGTATATGAAACTTTAAACTCTGGTATATTTGCTATCAGGATGTGCAAAGCACTCATGAAAACATGGCTGCTGAACTTAGTGGGCTGCTAGCAGAGAGAGATGAAAATCATCAGCAAATCAAAGAACTCCAACAGGATGCTGCCACTCTGACTCAACAAAAACAAGACATAGAGGCCGAGCTTGACAGGTGATTTGGGACCCATGCCAATCTTCACTATAGTACAATTATTCTTTGTTTATGGACTGTTAATTTCTCTGGAATTTAACCAACTGATTGAATAAAATAGTAGACATTTTTCTCTGCAGAATGAAGGAAAGAGTTAAAAAGATGACCACACAAAGGCGAGATGAAGAAAAGGAGAGGAGAGATTTGCAGGTGTATCCAACATTGCCATTTACAATCTACATTGGAATATTTTCCTCATTCTGTGAAATAATTATGAATAATGAACTAATTTGTTTTTACAATTTGAACTAACTAGCATTACATGGACTAGATTACATGGTTAACATGTGAATGAAAAATTTCTCTCCAGATAGAGAATGAGCAGGCACATGCTGAGCTGCGGACCTTGCAAGAGCGTCTGGAGGCCAGTGAGCGTAGCAATGAGGCCCTCCGCAGGGACCTGAGTGAACTGGGCTCCTTGCAGAGTCACAGCCATGCAGAGCTGCATCAGGTCAGACTTCAGTCTGCACAGATGAGTTTACAACTGTCCCAGGCCAACCTGTCACTGCGTGAGGGGCAAGCCACCTGGGCCCAGGAGAGGGAGACTTTAAGACAAAGTGCAGAGGTAAGAGAGAGATAAGTTATAATAAGAAATCTCTCTCTCACACACACTACTATTACCACTTTTATCAGTCCAGCCACAACACCACTAGTAAGTACTGTATGTGATTCTCAATCTCTGTGCTCTTGTTAAAGTTGGCTAAGGATCGTTTTCAGAAACTGAGCCGTGAGCTTCAGAAGAAGGAAGAGTGGCTCCAGGAGGAGAGAACCGAGCGAGAAAAACTGGAAGTGGAGCTGGGGAACGAGAAGGATTGTAACCGGGTAAATATTCCATGACACATGCATGGCCTATAATTAAACTTTCACATCAGTCAGAGCTTTCTGGATACCCAGCACATATGTGGGTCAGGTTACTGGTCTTGGAGCAACACCAGTATGAGGCAAGAGTTGCCTTAAAAAACTTGTAAATAAGCTGACCAAAATAGATTTGAAAACAATATAAAATGCATGTGTATGTTTACAGAAATGTTTTTCCCCTCATCATTCATGTTAGTGGATGCCACGGCACACTGGTTAAACTGATTAATAAGAAATACTTAAAGGGGTTAAAGGGGTAATGACATGAAGAATCAAAATTTCTTTGATCTTTTGACATATAAGTGGTCAAAAAAACTACAAGTTTCATGCATCAAAAAATAGCATTTGTTGAAACCGCTTCCAAAATGTATTGTACTTCAATCAGCATCGAAAGCAATTCGATGCATGGAAAGCAAATATATGCACCCAAGCCCGCAACATATTTACAGGTAAACCCCCAGGGGGGAAAAAAGAGGCTTTTAATGTTCTGTTGACTTGTTTAGACAGAAATAACTTGTGGATGATAGCTTGTTGTCAAACATTAGCTGATACCACAGGTCTTGTAGTCATATTTGAAGCTAGCCGAAGTAAATATTTGCCATTGATCAGAAATTGGTTACTTGGGAACTCACCCATGCATAAACACTTCTTCACAATGAATCTTCACAATCTTCTATGTTTGGGTATCTGGTATAGTAGCTGAGGTCTTCTACATCCCTAGATGTAGAAGTGGGCTGGTGTGGAAGAAATGCAGAAGGTTTGGAAGAAAGGTCCATGATACTTTCATCTGAAACTTCCCATCATGGTCCTTGAGAACTAATCTTTGGTACCATCTTGGGCATCTTGACCCATGTTGAGTAACATTACACCAAAAGTACTAGTGTGAAAGACCCCTAAGGGGCCGTTCTCATGTCGTGTCTTTTGCACGCTCAAGTTTGATATTTTAAATGTAGACGCGTGCCAAGCACGCTCATAATAGAAGCGACAGTGTTGAGATGCTCAAGTGTTGAACCAAGACTAGACCAAAGTGTCAGGATCCAGACCCCATATCCTGAACACACAAAACATAACACACATAAGCGCATGGCCAGGCAACCAGAACCATATGCTTCCATTAGACTAACAGGGGTCCTGCCACCACAGATCGAGGAGGAAAATAATAATAAAAAAAACTAGAAAAGAGTTGACCATACTCTAACATTCATGGATTATGGGTTTTGGATAGGCATTAAGAATGGTTTTAGAATTGACTCTACTGTAGTCAATGTAAAAACAGGATACATTTGGTATTAAGACAAAAGGGAAATTTCTATAGCAATTTTAAGTTTGGATGTTGTTAAAAGAAAGGAATGGAAAGTTGTTACCTTGCTGGGACTTCAACCATATCAGTAGTTAGAAACATCCAGGGTGATTGATGTTGTCTTCAGAAAGTCAGTTCCAGGAATTAAAGGGAATGTCAAGAGTTCATCATCCATATGCAGGTGTTGTCGATAAAACTCTAAGCCTGCTAAGTCTTCTCCCACTGGTTGCTGGGAGAGTGTTGGCTGACAAAGACATACCATCAAAACATTATGATCATAAATCAAAGAGAGTCAGAACATGGTGGAATATATGCTTTGAAAAAATTTTGACTGTTAAAAAAACTTTACTAACATTATATGTGAACCTCAAGGGACATTAAAAAGGCATGCCATGACCCCTTAGAATCTAAATAACATTAAAGCAAATAATGTGACTTTGGAAATATTTATAAACTTTTCAAAGTCTGATATGTCAAGTCAAGTCACCTTTATTTATATAGCGCTTTTAACA